TCAAGCATTAAAAAAGCAGGGAAGAGGCAGGCAAACTCCAAGCTACTGCACACAGCAATAGCGTCCCCGAAATTTCTGCTGACTTCTTGGTAAGCAAGGCCCTTATGAGCTTGGGGTGCTTCAAACAGTGAAGTTTAAAGCTTAGTTACAAATGAACAAATAAAGGGGCAGCTTCCTCTTGGGTTAGAGGTTTTTGTCACACCAGCTGGGGAAGGGGTGTATCTGTGCCACCCTAAAACTCCATTACCACAAGCAGCAGCCCTAGACCCAGCAACACGCCGAGAGTTTACCCACCAGCCTCATGCTCTGCCATTGACACACAGTCTGCCTGGCAGAAGTACAGCAAAGCTATACGGACCACTGAGTCTTTCTCCCCTCTCCTTTCCCTTCTTCCGTACGTTAACCAGAGCCACATTGCTGGCCTGGGCAGATTTGTGCTGGGCTGTCTCCGGGGGGTGGCTGACAAACCATCTTACTGGTGCACTGGAGACTTGAAAGTCTCCTGCAAACCCGACCCAATCATTTTGCAGCTACACGCTAAGGGATTTTGTTGCGAAGATCAAGTGATGTCAAGTGCAAAAGTATGAAAGTAACTTATTTACTTTTAGGATTTGTAAACCTAGATACTCGGGAATTTTAATATTTATCAGCCCATTTACAGGACAAGTACAAAGACCAACACCTTTAGCAACAGATGCTGATTTATGTTGTCTTCCTGAATAAATTTGACACCTATTTTTCCAGGCAGAAAAGCCTGAACAAAATCTCTTTATCACTATGGATCCTGAACTGCCGTCCAGTGTCAGTTACTTTGCAAAACCCTCTTTAAGTGCTTCACAGATGCTCCATTGACTCCATTGGGTTCCGCACGTAAAGAGCACTTCAGAAAGGCCCCATAAAGCCATGGTGCTTCCACCTTGCACCCAAAGCTCAGCAGTGCTCTTCTTCCCAGTGCACAACCTGAAGTGTAAGGTATATTTTCAGATCTATCAAACAGGTTCATCACAGGCTCGGTGCCAAGCCTATTGCAAACACCAAAAAAAGACCTCAGCTGATTTTGGAGGTCTTTGGATCAGTTGTTCTAGGAAACAGATTCGTACAAAGGGAGGAGGAGGAAGAAACAGTACTTCGAAGAATTGTGGGATCAACAACAACAGAAATGCTCCAGCTGAAGCTGCAAGGCCAATTGCCAGTTTGCATGGCTGTGCTAAGCTTAGCAAAGGTAGGACTAGTCCCTATAACTTGAGGACATTAACTCCAAAGGTACAGAAAGCTGATCAGCAAATGCTTTTGTTTATATCGGGGTGACTTCCTATGGCTGCCTAAAAGCTGGGTTCTCATCTGAACTGGCCAACCCTATTCCCTCCCTCGTATCTGGGTACAGCTACGCATGGCTGAAAAGCAATTAATTCCCATCATTTTGGACCTCTGTTTTAAGGTGGGAAGAACTGGAGATACCTATCAGCCTCCACTGGCGACAAACAGAGCTTGAATAATGACTAGAGACTAGATGCACAACTTGCAGAGGGCTAATATTAAGCAAGGGAAATCCCACCTTGTGCCTCTTAGCTCACTCGGGGTTTATAGGCAAGTCAGCAGCCAGATTCAAAGGGGTAGTCTTTGATGGGTGAAGGTAAAGGTGCTGGCAATCCTCTTGTCACCCCACCGTCTTGCTGGTTGTTTTTGTACTTAGATGATCCTTGCTACATAGCGACCTGGCAAACAAAGTCAGCAGTCCATGGCAATCTTGTTCAAAAAGTACATATATTTAATAAAGATATCAAATACAATTTTTTCCCCTGGAATTTCCACTACTGTATTTCAGTAAGTCCCTTCTACGGTCACTGCAGTTTGACTGTATATAGCTACTGTCTAAGCTGGATACACGGTTATGTTTTAGCAGTGTCATACTCATATATTCTCTATAAATATAATAAAAGATTTAACATTTCTGTTTTCATTCTGATTCTTACACATATTTACTGGGTTTTCACAAAAAATACATGTCTCTTTCCTGCCTCCCCCAACCTTTTACTGGGTTCCAAATAAACCTGAGTTTGTAATTCAAGTCAGTATCTGCCATCTGTTCAGGTACGCAAGTCCAACGCACGCAAAAGATGGGAATTCGGTGGTCCCCGCTCGCTAGCTTTGCAGCGCAAACATGTTCTTAGCATGAAGAAAAGGAAAATGCTTTGATGTTTTTAAACGAAAGGAAGAGCTAAAATGGACCCCTGGGATGCACAGCTGCTCTGTACAAACAGAAGATGACATTTTTCAATCTGAAAATGAGTAAAATTATTTCAGGGCTGTCTTTCTTATCATATTGGGATTTTTATGTATATTATCTTACAGGTAGCTTAACTACCCCAGAGGCGGGTGTCCTCACTACACTGAAGAGTGCAAGAGCATATGGACTCCCCCATACCAAACCGGCGGGCAGCTTCAGTGCCGAGGTGAAGGTCCCATCTGATGAGAAGGGCGCTCTGGACATTCACGTTTTGCCAGCAGCCATTCAAAATACCGAACGGTCCAGTTATCTGTTCTGTCAGTATTTGGACTAATGTCCAATTTTTTTCTTGCAGATTTTGGTGTAAGGCCTGTGCTATGCTGAGAATCGGGAACATGCGCTCAGCTACGGGCTCTGCTGGGGACCTTCTCCCCTGCCTCTGCTGGCCCTCCTCCCCCAGTCCCTCTGTATCTCTCATGAAACTGGAAGGAAAGCTTCTCAAACAGGGGTAACTCTCAGCATTTGCACTGACACCAAAACCAACGGGGCCACAAAATTGTTTGCAAAAATATTGATGAAAATAGGGCTTGGATTCCTACTAATGGTCTCGAGGCAAAATCCCCATCTTCCAACAACAACCCCAAGAAGAAGACAACGCCTCTGCTGCCTGGGTTTGGAAATGACATTAATTGGGTGGGTAGCAGTGGGGCACACGTGGGCCAGGACTGCCCGCTTGGGAACCAGACTGCAACAAGCTTTGTTGAGACGTCCCATACATACAAACACATACGCAAGCGCGGTAGAGACAAAAGGAAAGAGTAGTCTTTGGCTAAACCTTCTAATTTATAGGAAATGGTTTGAAGACAAAAACAGAACCAAAAAAACATTGCCAACCTCCCAGATGTATTATTTACTTAGAAAAACAAGACCGGTATGGGGAACATGGTGCCTTTTAAGAAAGTTAATCTTCACCACTCGTAACAATTCCAAATTTTTGGTAACCACTGCATCACCAATCTTGCAGTATAAAACGGCATTGGTACAGGTTCATGTGTCCTTTATTAGTCTTTTTAATTCACTGCAGTCTCTCAGAAAAGCCTTCAGGTGTGTCCAGTGCTGCTTTGCTGTAATGGGCTAACACAGTCCTGCACGTAGGCACGCCATGGAACTAGTACAGCTGCAAAAATCGGGGGTGACTGGATTGTTTAAATACAGCGAGTTGCAATCTGGATTACTGTTTGAAGCATCCGCTTGCAGACCCATCATATGAAAGGAGCAGGCCTCTAGCATGGTGAATTTCCACATGATGAGACTTGTTTTTAAATACTCATGTTTCTTCTAAATGACATCATTAAATCATCATTTTCTTAGGAAAAAAATTATTCCATTATTAGCTACTTTATGTAATTAACTGTAAAATCTGCTTTGACTTCCAATACTCCCACTTCTTCTGAACGTTTAGATCACTCATGTCTTTATTCAAGCTTTTACCAACTTCATCTTCTTGGCAGTGCTTGTTAGCAAGTTGACGTTGGACATCATAGTGTCTTGAGTTTTTCCATTTGTCTAGCCATGTGAACAATGCCTGCAGCAGTACCACGTACTGTGTGGCACAGGCAGACAGAGCATGGGCAGTCTTACCACAGATCCTGGATGGGACCGGCATCCATGGCACCACGCAGATTACCTTGATGAATCAAACCGTTAATGCTTGCTGCTCTTCCAGCCAACCTTACTGCACTACTAGATGAGAGCAGTGAAAATACATATTCACGTAGCTCTTTCAAGACATGTTTTAGTGTACAGTCGGATGCCAAATGCTAGTATTTCTTAACAGCACAAGCAGAGCCCTTTTCTTTCAACTTTAATATATAGGACAACGCCTTCCTTACAAGCAGACGTCTGATTTTCTACGTTGGACCACTGTAGTGTATTACGTAGTGGCAGTAACATGCCTGTGGCTTTCCCTTCTTGTCAAAAGTAAAAAAAGGTTAGGTCCCAGAGAACAGCAGCGCAAATCCCGGGATGTCAGACTAACACTGGCCGCTGACAGCATCTGCTGCATTGAAGGAAATCTGCGTAGGGCTCATCTGCTGCAGCTGAGGCATCCTCGCTTCCAGCGGCTTGTCGCTCGCCGACTGCATCGTCTGGTTCCTCTTCCGCAGCATCTGTCCGATCCCCATCATGGGGAATCTGCCTCTGCTTTTAACACAGTTAGGGCTGCCCAAGGGGTTGTTGGAAACCAGCTGAGTAGGGGACACTGCTTCTTCCTTTGCCGGATACGCTTTTTCTTCATATGTGAAAGAGACTTGGGTGGGGTGGACGGGGGATGTACTCCCTGGCTGAAAAAGCGGGGACAGTGTCCTTTCACTTGAGCTTTTGTAAGGGAAATTCATTGGCGAGCCTAAAATCCTGTACTGATGAGAGGGGGAAACCTGGTCTATTTGGTCCTCTCTGTCAACCAGCTCGAAGGAGTGCACAATATTCAGGATGAGAGGAGAGTCCTTTACCCGGCCCCCGATCCGGGCTGGCTCCTGCTGCGGAGACTCCTGTCTCTTGAGGAGCCGAGGGGTTCTGGGGGGCGGCTGCTGGACTTCGAGGTACTCCAGGGAGCTGGACGTGACGCAGCCCGTCTTGGTTGCCAGGGGTTCGTGGAAAGGGCTCACCCCACCGCTGGAGTCTGCAAAGCAATCAGAAAAGGAACCAGAAGAGCAGATCGCATTTAATAGCACTGCCTCCTCTGCCTTAACGGCAGACAGCGTCCGACATCACCTTTAACAAATTTTAGGAGAGCATGACAAATGCACTAGCTAAACCAAATGGTCTTAGGGATACACTCAGAACCTAATTCCCTGACTCTCATTTGATACTTACATTGTTGTTTCATGGGTAATTTATCTGCAACTTTCCTCAAAGGCAGGAAGAGTGCTTAAACTGAGTAAGACAAGGACATGAAACGGAAAACCACAGCTGTCTTCAGCTGTTTGTATTAATTATACTCTCTAAGGCCACGTCTGAGAAATCTCACATTTCTCTTTTCTTAGCACAACTTTGCATGATTTTAACTGGGTCTGCGTACTGTATTCACTGACATACCTAGAGACACAGGGGACAACAGTGAGTTAATCCCTAATGTCTTTCCTTGCATTTTGGAACAAAATCTGTTCTTGGTTTCACACATGTAAATATGGAGTAGCTGCACCGGCCAGATTCAGGCTGTTACAGTTGGAACAGCCTTGCTGCATCGACTTCAGTGAGAATCTTCCGCCAGCAAGGCCCGAATATAAATGGAACAATCTTTGCAGGATTTGGCCCAATAAAACAAAACAGCTCATGGAGAAGATCTGCTCGGTTTCTACAGGATGCTGGCACTCGCTTATGCCAAGCTAGTCGCAAGAAAACACGTTTTGCTGCCTTTATGGAAAGCTGTCCAAGGAGCCTGCTTTGCTAGGTTCCCCCTAACTGAAAGAATAGCGGACCGGCAGTTAATCACTGTCCATGAGTTCCCTCGGTCTCAAAGCATCTAAAAGGGATGTAAAATAATTTAGGTCTGCCAGCCCTCAGGTCACAGCCGCAAACCTTACATGTATTTCTTTTGAAAGGGATGGTCTTGGCGGGGGTTGAGACCTGAATGGATGTACGGGATGAAATCACTCGCATTGAGAGTTGTCTGGGAAAAGCAGACCAGGTTTAATCTGATTAGTTTCTTTCTAAAACTGGTCAAAATTATTTGACCACTTCATTTAAGAAGTGTCAAAACACAGTTTCCATAAGCAGAGAAATGCTTTAGCTGAGATCTGAAGGATTTTCAGGTTTCAGTTTAAAAAAGCAGGGAGAAACCTAGAGAGGGAAAAAAATGAACTAGGTTTACTTCCCCCTGTGCCTCCCTCCCAAAAGGAACAACAAATCTGAACAAAATGAGCATTTTTTCATGTTTTTTACATTCTTCACAAAAAGTATGCCCCATTTCTGACCAGCTCTCCGGACTACTGTTACCTTGCAGCGGAGGCGCCTGTGCTGCCAGATGAACACCGTTTTGACATTTTTTTCAGGTAGAAAGCATCAAACGATAAATTATCAAGTCACGAGAAAGAGCATGAAACCACCATAAGCCACCACTCTGAATAAACCCCTGACGCCACAGTAAACGTTTTACACTGCCATATTTCCCCCCACTGCTCTATAGTGACCTCCCCTCATTTAGTTCCCTCATTTAACAGCCGGCTACTCACCTTCCTGCTCCTCAGTGTCTCCCATCCACGTGTGCACTACCGACACCCCATTTTCCCCACTGACTCCCCTTTTCCTCCACTCCTTTCTTCCTTTTGCGAGCAGCTCTCACCCATCCCTTCCAGGCTGCCTCCTACCCTGCATGATTAACGCTCTGCTCTCCTCTGGCTGTCTCGTCTTTTCCTTTCCCCGTCCTTTTGCTGCCTGAAATTTGCTGGGGTTGGCAGTCCCACCCGCATTTCCTCTCGGCTGCCTGCTTCCCCTTCCTCCACCATCAGCCGCTGCACGCTGCTTCTCTCAGGGATGCCACCGTTACTGGCACTCTCCTCAGGGTCAGGGTATTTCTCCCCATGCTACCCCTTAGTCCCCTCTTAGCAAAACACATTGACCGGTAGGAAGAAGCGTCTCTACCGGCTTTGGTTTGTCAGTGATCTCGGGTGGGTGTTGATGCTTTCAAAGCGCCAGTGTGAAGTGCAGATGATTTTGTGTAAGTACGTATAAATAGGGAAGGAAAGGTTTTTTTAAAACACTGTGGGAATTCTGTCAAATAGAACGAGAAGTAGAAGTGAGGATTCATGACTGTTGAACATTGTCACGGTTTCCTCAGGATGTTTCGTTCAATGTTTGACTACGTTATCCAGTCCTCTTTCACATACCACCTCCAGAGCAGACAGCGAACACAAGCCCACAACTATTTACTAACAAACACACAACACACAAGACGCTCTCACCAATGCTGTGTGTGCCCACGCATGCACATGCGCACAGGGACACACCACCGGTATTTCTCCCACTGACCTTTCTCTGGACCTCCAGTCTTGGTGACTTTCCGGTCCTTCAGCAGAGCCTTGGTGTTCTGTATCTGTGAGATAAGACAGGAAGAAGGCTGTCTATATGAAACTGGACTTTTCTCAGTTTTCTTTGGGAGCTGACGGTGAAGAATCTCCCCTTTCTTTTCTTGTTCTTTGAGTTTTTTGTCCTTTAAGTTGTAAAACAAACAAGAACAATTTGGTTTACTTAAGGGAAGTTTAAATGACCCCCCAGACTCACCACTTACCGAAGCCGAATTAAAAACTATACATTTACAAGGAACTTATCCTGGCTACTCGAAATAACTAAATCTTCCATGTCTCATTTTCCTGTGATCTGTTTGACATGATTTCATGGCTCCCATCTGCTCTGACGCTCATGCAGTGTGAAAGTTGGTTTTGGAAAACTAAAGGAAAAGGAAAGCTTTCTTCAGAGGCGATTTGTCCTAGGAGACCTCGTTGGAGCAAGTAGATGCAGGTTTGTGCTCCTTCATACCTGAAATTTGCCTCCCCATTTAAACACTGAAAGAAGGTCTTTGATTTCTCTTCATTGCACTTCCTCTGACATTTGAAAAGGTGAGCTGCAAAGCTTTAAAAAGTTTAAACTCTGTGAGTCATTTCTCTTCTGTCCGAACAAGATCCGGAGGAATACAGCCCTCTGCAGCCGTGGGGCTTCGATGGCTACACGCGCGTTAGCCTGCGATGCTGGGGCTGCACCTGTGAAGGAGCGTGAGCTGAGTATTAAACCCAACCACCCAGACCCAGTAGTGTTCTATAGCATCTCTGCAACTGCACACGACATGGAGGGAGAGAAAATTGCTGACCCAACCCTTCACTGAGCCCTAACTCCTTTTCGTGATGGGGAAGACAGCTCAAGGTGGGACCGCAAACATAAAGGTAGGTTTGATCTCCAGGGATGACAGAGGAAAAACAGAACCTGGGAGTGGGACTCTGAAGAGGAATCCAATTTTCAAAGCACTGTTTTACAGTGAAAATTCATTGTATCTTTTTTCAACATGAATCGCTAGATTCTGCAAGCTACGTAACACTCTTTACCTGCCACAGATTTCAGGGGGAGCCAAAAGTCTTATTTCACTTCTAAAATCAGGCATCGAATTTGTGGCCCATATTTTGCTACCCCTCAAAGACTTCAAGAATCTCTCCCCTTTCTGGAACAAAGCTGTGTGGTCTGGTTTTAGATGTCAATCTCAAAGAAGTGGGGCTTTTGTTTTGGTTGCTTTGGGGTTGTTTCTTTAGAGGGGCATTTATGCGACATTCTTTGTGCGGTTGTAATTCTCATTTAAGCAACACGTTTCGCTCTTTCTTATTGAAAAGTCACTGTAACTAAAAGTCTTTTTTTAAAAATGCAGGAGAGTTCCTTCACCCAATTATGTGCCAAGGACTGTATTTTGTCTGATAATTATGCACTGCCAAAGGGCTGGCTCTCTTAGGGATTTTCTTTTGAAAGTTCATTGACATGAAGTCTATCGAAACCCTCAAATGCAAAGTAACGTGCATACATGTGAGAGAGGGAAAGAAAGACGCAGAAGACAGCTTGGGTTCCCTTGGGCCACTAAACATAGCTCTGGAAACATATTAAGACACCTAAGAGTAAAATAACCGGACAGCACCCGTTTTGATGATTCCCAGCTCAGACAGAGTCCAGCCCCCTGCACAGACGGTGTCTGGGCACCACTGGGCTCATTAACCTTTGAATTTTCAGAATTTACGGAGTCGGAAGGAAGAGCTTCAGTGAATCATGATCTAGGCTTTTTAGTTTTATGACACAAGTGGTTAGGTGACTTGGGAGAGCGAGAACCAGAAACCCTCTCTGAGCTCCTCACCATCTTCACCTCAGTCTCCCTTTGCACACCTGTTTTCTGTGCCCAGCCCTCTCTCCATCTACCCTTATCCCTTCCAATTTCTTTCCCTTTAGCTACCTAAAGCTGGCTAACCCTTCCACAGAAACAAACCAATGCATTATGGAGCCATCATCACTTCGCTTACGTGATACCTCTTCGTCCACCTGATGCCTTTCCCCTTGCCTACAGAGGCTGTAAACACCTCTGGCACCGAGCATTTATTCCTCCCTGCCTGTGCTGTGCTTGGAACAACACGACATCTGATCAAGGCACTATCTTGGCGAGCACAGTCACTACTGACAAGGATGAAGTAATAACAACAGTAATAACAACAACAATAATAACACGTGTGAATAACACCCAGCGACAACAGAGTCAGTGGGAGCTGTACAGTTAATTTTGAGCCCACCACACTATTTTTCCTCTCAAGGCTCTGAAACTCTGCTGCCAAGTTCAGCAGAGACTGGGCTCTACCGAGTAACTTTTTTTAAAGGTACTTGTGAGGATGAGACCAAGTAGTAACTATATTAAGCCTAAAGGAGCTGATCAAGATTGTTAGCGGCTTTCTGCTATTTTGGATAGGTGAGGAAGGAATTTGCATGTTGGTTGCTGCAGCATCTGTCAGAATGCAGGACGTTTCAATGCTCCAATATTTTTAGCCTAATGGTACAAGAGCCAAGCCGCAGCTCCTAACCTGCCAAGTGCTCCTGACTTTGCCTTCACACTGCTGTAATGTTTTCTAAGCAGCAGTAACACAGTCATACTGTACAATTAAAGCCCCCCCAAAAAAGAAAATTCACGTATCCGGTGTTAGCAATGAATTACTTTACCCTCGATGAACATTGCAACTAGTCTTTTAAGCATTTTTAAAATTTACTAAGATTGTTTCTCTTAGATGATGGTTGTTGAAGGGGAAACGGCCAAAATCCTAAACTCCCAAGGTGCCACATGCTATTATATTTTAAAAGGAAAGGAAGATTTCCTTCAGGGGAGTTATAAAAGTTCGCTCTTCACTGTACCGTGCACAGCCATGTAATGGCATGCTGTCGCACAATGCAGGAGTTGTACCGGTATGTTATACTTGAATAGGCTTGGCATTACATCATCCTCTGCTATTTCCTGTCCTGACCTCGACCCGAAAACCTACTCTTAGTCCCAGCAACGGATTTGAAAGGAAGATAAAGGGTATTTGCCTTGGCCATGTCTAAAATAGTGATAGGACAATGACACAAGTTCTTAAAAATTGCAAATTCCCCGAGTCTGAGCCCACTGGCTACCCTGCGGGAGGCAAGTATCCCCAGCGCTGGTCCCCTGGATGTGCTGCAGGGACGACCGCTCGTCACCTGAGGCCTCTCCAACAGAAAGAGAGAGATGGAGAGAGAGAGACAGGCTGCTGCCTCCCTCCCTCCTCCCTGTGCTGCCCATCTGCCCTGAGCACTAAAATGAAATCAGCCTGCCAAACAGCCTGGTTACTTAGCACCGACAGCAGCTCTCAGCACCCTCCCACCACCCCAGGTTAGGAAACCTAATGGAGAAGAGGGGCTGGGCATGACCGCTGCCCGCACGCCCTGCTGCCTGCCCCAGCAACAGGCGGTGCTGCTGGCAGGCAGCCCCCTGCCTGAGGCAAAGTCCTTATTTCACATCGCTGGAGTGAGGCGCACGGAATTCGGTCAGCTGCTGAAGCTGAAGCTGACCAGCTCTCTCCCCGCTATTCCCATGGCAACGCACAGCTACGCTCTCCGTGCAGTGTCTGCCTAGGGACCATTGCCTCCCAGTTCCCCTCTGGAAATGGGGGGTGATAAGGGGACTCTATCTGCAGCTCATGAACCTGCCTGAGCTTACAAACTCTCTACCCCTGAGTCCCGGTGGCACCCACTGATCCCGGTGGCATGAGGTAGACACTACCAGGGCTGTGTTCCCATCCACATGAAGGCATTTGAGGAGGGATGTCTGCCATAATTACAAACGACAGTGGCATCCCAGGGTCTGTATTCACCCACCTGTGCTGCTGTTAACTGTCCTGGTACAGTAAGGGTAACACAATCCCCTTGTGTAAATACAGCTAAAGCGATACAAAACGTGCTTTATACTCGGCTATGCCCATGCAGAAAGAGAATATACTGTATTATTATCACGGGGTCTGCACTGTGATTGCATCAAGGTAACTATTTCAAGAAAGAAATGACACCCCCTCATCCTCTAAATAGCTACACTGGGACTAACTCCGAGTGCAGGAGAGGCTTTGGAGGGAGCCTTTATCTCTAAGCATGCCTACAAACCAAACTGGGGTCATACAGTGGTACTACCATCAGTTTCCAATTATCCTTACAGAAGTCAAACACAAGTTCCCTTCTAGGGGCGCCGGGATTTCAGGACCACCACCAAACCAGACCACACATTTCTCTCTCAGCTACGCGCGGGTGCACAGGCAGGCCTTGCTGCAGACTCCCCCGCACAGGGTAGGTACGCAGAAGCTGTAAGCTAATGCCTGGATGGCAGGCAGAGCATGCCCGTGGCTCTCCGTCACTGCACACAGAAGTGACACCAGCAGCTGGAAGAAGCTGGCCTGGAGACCATCAGGACGCACCATGCAACACCTGCAGCATTCACCTCCAGGTACCTGCCTGTGTTTCCAGGGGAAGGTTGCCCTGCAACAGCTTGAAGTAAGCTGTCAAAGAGCATTTTGAAATATTATATTCATTGAGTCTACCTGCTGCTGATACATTTTAAGTAAGGTGGGTTTTGATTTATGTAAGAAAAGAATGATAAGTACTTTGCCCTGATGTTTCCATCTGGCTTGCAGTTCAGCTTGTCTTGCAAGCAGCCTTTAAAATAAGCAAAACCAGCCATGATACAAACCTGCCCCTGCAATTAGATCATCAATCCGGTGCTGAGGAGTAGCTTTTGAAATAGGTACACTCTTCGGGAATACCGCTCTTTGTGTTGGTAGGTGAGACTTGCACAGCTCGTATTACTCTTGTAATTTTAGTGCTTGGCAAAGAATCAGCCAGGAAAGAAAAATCCAGCCATGAGAAGACCCCTATTGTCTGACACGTATTCTTTTAATACAAACTACCTTCTCTATTTGCAGGCAAAAAGACTGGAGACCGAGCGAGCAAAAGGTAACCTGGTTAAATCTTTTCTCTGGCCAAAGGCAATCCCTCATGATGCAGTGGGCTAGTTCTGCATCACTTCTGCTAAGAAGCAAAAAATACTAACCTGGGCTAGTAGTTTTGTGCTCATCAGTTTCACCATTTCTGGTAGTCAAGCCAGGGTTGGCCCAGGACACCAGGACACCAGGTGACTAGGGAGGGTCACCCTGGCTGTCACTCAGCTCTCTGCCCTACGCCACCAAGGTCTTGAGTCTCAAGGCAACACAATTATGGTCTTCTTACAACACCAGCAACTTGCACCCCAGAATGAAACTACGGAGCCCCCTGAAGAAGTTTGTATTATTTTGCTAAACAGAGCATTTAAAACTTTTATTTTCTTCATAAAAGCTGAAAGTCATCTTTACACTTCCACCCTAGGGGGTTGCTATTTGTTTCTTTGAAAAGAAATTGAGGGAATTATTTGTCCTGCACAGGCAAGACCACAGGTCTTTTTTTTCTCCATAGGTCCAGAAACCCATTGCCTTAATCACAATCACCAGGGATCCTCAAATTCAGTCTGCTTTCAAAGTACCTTAACAAGCTTTAATGAGCTTTACCTCATAGGAGTCTTTGTTTGCCTTGTATTTTTCTATCTGGTATAGTTGGTTCTTGTGGCAAATATTGTCCTGGCCTTCAGACTTCTGTGGAGAGAGAAGCACAGAAAAGTAAAGTATGTAAGACAATTAGATAACATTCAATTACTGCTTAATGAACTGTATCCACACTTGGCATTCAGTGGAGGTGCATCAACTTACAGAGATGGTGAATTTGGTCCATTACATTTTAAATACCATTGATGGCATCACGTAGGAGCCTACGGACCCTCAACTAGTCAAGACTCCTCACCAGACCCACAGGCAGCTATGTGGAGAGGCCAAGGGAAGAAAGCGCGCAGCTTGTCTTTGTGCGCTGCGCTCATCCTAGCACTTCAGCAAGTACCATGCAAAACGTGGCTAGCGAGCTCAGCTCCCCCCGGATGTACAAGGAAGGGTGACATGTGGCAGCAGACTCCTGCCCTAGAGAAAGCTGCTGTGCAAACCCGTCAGCAGGGTTTCTGACCCCCAAGCCATACTCAGGGGCCAGGAAGGTCAGCAGGAGATTAGGAGACTTTATATCCATGTTATTTCTCATGTAAAACTTTCAGCTAAGTTTTCACTTAAAAACTAAATAAAATCTTAATAGCTGCTAAGCTTCCTCGTGATTTCCTGAATCAAATTACATTGTGTTATTGATATTTCAAGCGGCAGAATTATCTCAACATATGGATACAGTATGCCACAAGTCACAAGTAAGGCTCTGCATGGCAACAGTTTGCTTTCTATAGGGTAACTGCCTAGCCAGAGGGGATCTCCTATGAAAACATGGACTTGTGAGACGTAAAGCCTATCAGCAATTATCTTCGCAACCTGGGGAATTCTTATCTGAAATAATGTTATTAGTTCGCGAGGAATACTTCCCCTTCATGGTTACTGCTACAAAATTAGAAAAAACAAACCTCAGGTAAAGCCTTGAGATCAAATGCCAGCAAGCACTTTCTTACCCTCCTCACCCGCTTGTCCAAAGAATCGGCATCAAGCAGTACTTACCCTAAGGCTTGCCAAGTAGCGCTCCAGCTTCTTATTAAGTAGAAAGTAGATGGCAAGCGTGTGACTTGCCCTGTTTGAGAGCACAGTGTTGATGACGTCGCTGTTCTTGTAGCCGAGCTTCTCGGTCATATGGAGCAGCACGCTTTGGCTGAGGTCCTCAAGGTGAATCCTGCACAGAGAGAAGCAGAGCATGCCGTTCGCCCCGTCCTCCCAGCGACAGAGCCTTGCCAGCCACGGGGGATGTGGCAGAGCATGAAGAAGAGGCCTGAAAGGCTCAGTAACGTGGGTGTGATTCACTCTCTTCTCTCGTGAGCAGGTACAAGGACAGACTATTCAGGAATCGTGGGCACCGCGGGAAGCCGTGGTAGCTGAACAAACAGCACTCTTCTCACCAAATCAGAGGACCTCATGTCCTACCCTGACCTGAGATGGCACCGTGATGCTCAGGACACTGCTGTTTGTTACCCTACATCTGACCAGTAAAGACCGTCAAGATCATCCGGCTGGTTTTGAAGGAAAAGAGGTAAAATCCAGCTCAGGTAGCTACATTTGCTTTCTGAAATGACCCTTTTCTTGTGATCAAACACCACAGCGTTCAGCTTCACCCCTTACCTGTTGCAGAATGTTAATGCACTAAGTAGCTAGAGAATTTCACTCCAGAGAAAGGGGATGTACCGGGAGGGTTATTACAGCAGCACTCAAACTGGTAAAACTACTGCTATACTCATGTCAGTTAAAAGCACGAGTACAACACATGTTTATGTATGTGCTCTCTTGTAAAGTCTCTAACAGACTCAGCCAAGGCGAGAAATGGAGTACAGCAGCCTTGTGGAAACGACAGAGCATCTTCTCAGTCTAAGTTCAAAACAGATTTTCCAAAGAACTCTGCTCCTATTTAGACCTCTAAATGCGCTGGACAGCTTCCCTGGTGTGCTTGTCAACGCCCATTCGTCTCCAAAGAAACGCTGGGTTTCATTTGTTTTCTAAAGGATATTCCTTGCTCCTTATATCAAGCCTAATATCTGGCTAAGGCAACTTAGGGAGCTTAGGTTGTGGGCTTTTTTTACAGCCTGCCTTCCCCCTTCAAAAGGACCATTCTCCACCTTTCCCACTCCTGCTCTGCTGTCCCCCTGTCCTGTGCACCTGTGATGCGAGGAATGCCCGGACAGCAGTCTGGGTCTGACCTAGAGAACTTAGACAAGATGTAAAACACCGTCTGGAAAATCTCAAATAACTCTTTGCCTTTATTCGGTGTGCTTATTAACATTCGTTCTGCAGCTAATGAATGCTTGGGGTTGTTTTTTTTTTAAGTTCAAAAGCAAAACTTACCTTGGCCATTGCACATTAAAGCATCTGGACAGCAAAAGAAATTCAAGCAATTTTGGGAAATTTTTGCTTGCCTTCGGGGAATTTCTTTAATAAAAGCAAGCTTATAAAAAGCCTGGGAGAATATTCTCCTGAAAATGCAGTTTCTGCCGTTCTTCCACCTTATCTCCATGCTCTCCCCTTTCCTACTATGTTCCTGTCTTGGGAACAGTGGGTGTTACCCACAAAATGGTGGAAGAGCACTGCAGTAACATAACACAGCTTCTTGCTTGTGTTATAAAAAGTATGATTAAGAGAGGAAGTAATTCCTTGCAAATTCAGTAGCGGATTTTTCAGAACTATTTTGACACATATTACCCACATCTGCACACTAACAAAAACTTGGAGAAACTCTGTTGAAGGTGACTCTAGTGGTACTTTCTGAGGCAAGCTCAAAAGGAGTCTAGTCATGTCTTTAAATATAACAGACTTTATAGAATATTTTCCCCGTAAGGCTCCAGTATGACAAAATTTAGGTAGGTCAAGCTTGGGGCATAAACTAATTAAACTAAAGAAATACTGTCCAAAAAATGAAGTGAAAGAATGAATCTGTATGGCTTTTATCCTTTACAGCTTCACATAAAACCTGGGTTTGGATAGAAGGAGTATCTACTTTTCTCTTGTTTTCAGACCAAATGATGAGAAAAGCAGTGCAATGAGAAAGAAAGAAAAAAAGTAACTTATTTTTTTCCATGGCAAAGCATTGCATTCCACATTGATGTTCCCTTTAAAAGTGCTTATAATAGGAAAGGATTATTATCATAATCATATACACATACACGCATTAGCAAATATATGCCCTCACTATAGTTCGGCACTGCATTTTCTTCTGTTCTTCCATTTGATTTGCTTGCCTTTAGGAGGGGATGATTAATGGGCACTCCATAAATAAAGAGCATTGCACAGCTATTCTGTCTAATAGAGGCCGGCCTCTTCTGTAAGTCACCTACCTAACTGCACCAATGAGCAGACTCTAGAAGGGACGCTTCCACCACAACCTGACTAAAGCCTGACAACTGCAAGTGAAGAAGTCAAAAATGGAGGCTTGAAAATGTACCTACAAATGCAAAAGAATTGTGAAAGCACATTCAAGCCATCTTTCTTTCTTTTTTCCTCTTTTCTGCAGATAAGACGCACCCAGCAAAAGAATTAAATTACCCATACAGCTCAGTTACACTTACATTCACTTAACAGATGCCACTTTTAGTAGATTGATTAGACTCATTATGACAGTGATTTCATTAGCTTAATGACTCATTCAGTTTACAGTTGTTTTCCCTTTCTTTACCACACAATGTTCATATGTACCATACTTCAGTACTGTCCAATGCATCATGGAAACTCAGATTTCCTTTTGTTGGACAGCATACTACGCAAATTAACTCAACTGCCCTTAAATTTGGGGCAGTAACGTCGAGATAATGGGTCTGCCTGTTCTCATTCTTATTCCTTGTGAAACAATTGTTCATAGGGGCCATCTTTATATTCTGTCCACGTAGGTCTGGGGACTGCAGGCAGCTGGCCTCACATTTGCCCTCCCCGTTTCAGTGGATGGCTCTAGTGATGCCTCCAGGCATCCAAGCTGCTCAACATCTATCCAACCATATTTTGAGAGCAGGAGACCTGTTATTCTCCTCAGGTCAAAGAAAGGCATAGTTACGGTGATTCTCCATGATGCACTACTTGAAAGTTAAGACATTACGTCTGGAAGGGAAATGCCTGCTGCTAAATTAGGGTACCTCCATTGCCTGTCAATGCAGAGGGAAAAGGGTAGGAGCCAGGGCTGTGCGGGCTGCAACCCATAAGCCAGCCAACAGCAACATCAAAGGGAAAGGTCTCCAAAAATTCCTAAAGGCTGTCTCGAGATTCGGGGCTCAAACTGATTTCCTGTGCCTAGGTCTCAGCATGAGCAAGTGGAGGCAACACTCGTCACCTGCTTTTGCAGGGTGCTCCAGGTGCCTCTCAGCCCCACAGGGGTTGGACCCATGGCTCTGAAACATAGAATCATAGCATAGTTTGGGTTGGAAGGGACCTCTAAAGGTCATCTAGTCCAACCCCCCTGCCGTGGGCAGGGACATCTTCAA